GCATCTAACTTCATGTTTTTCAGGCAGGAAGAGGGATTAACATGCTTACCATTAAAACACACATCAGAACTCATAAACCAGCAATGTGCAACAACAGCTAAATAAGGTGACTGCTATTGAGCACTAATGACTGAGGATCAGAGTAACACTAATTGATCATCTCCCCTGTTCCACTTGGAGGAGAACATCTCAGAGGGGCCCATTCAGCCCCTGGGGTCAAATGAGAACATACGGAGCCCTGAAGCATTGCTGCCCTCCTGCACAGGCACACCTGGCTCCTGATAAACACCGATGGTGAGGAGCAGGAGCTCTGCAACAGGAACCACATGCACTGCTCCCATAACACATAGCTTGGGGAAACAAAATAACATTTTGGAATTTCTGGCAGCTTGGATGTATGTGAAATTGCTGCACCATTTGTTTTCCAGAATTAAAAAATGAATTATCTCAGATAGGAAGGAAATTAGAGGTTTGTTTCGTGAAGCTTTGTTGTCAGAGCCAAACATATCTGAAGTCCACAAACACAGCAACAAATTTAGAAAATGGGAAGTCCTGAAATGCAGAAAAAATTTAATATAATTTTTATGTCAATGCATTTGAAGTAAAGTATTTTTATGTCAATATATTTTAGGTGAAGTATTTTTATGCCACAAGTGTGTTACCAGCAATTATTTTGCATCTCGGTCACCTTCTGAGAATAATTTCTGAAAATAAACTTTTATATTCCTGATGTTAAAAGCAAAAACATATTGTAAGTACTTGCTCAAATGAACCAGTGCTGTCTGCCTTGACATGATCCTTTACTGGCTTGTTTCAGGTGCTGTCAGCTATTTTAGCAGAGGATGAGTCACTGTGAAATGCAAATCCTGTTTCATTTCTCATCAGTCATGATTCACCCTGAAATGTATAAGGTTTTAGCAAGTTGCTATATTATGCATTAGGCACTTAAGCTATTTGCTTCAATAATGCAGCATCACTTTTTCCCTTAACTCTAAGTGATTAAAACCCTCTGTGAAGTGAGAGAACATTAACAGCTGGTTCCCTTTTTCCTGGGGGAGCTGTGTCAGAGACCTCACCCCAAGAGATGCTCAGGGTGCCTTCCAGGGAAGCCAAACCCCGCCGAGGCATCGAGCCTGGTGCAGCTCAGGGCCTTTGGGCAATTCCCACCTTTCCAAATACAGCCTGGCAAGATGGGTTATGCCTACACTGCTGAGTCACTTCTCAGCATGGAGCAGTTCCTTTTGCTGCTCAGCAGGACTCCAAACCTGCCCTGCTGCAATTTAACTGTGCCCAGCATCCAAAAAGCTCCACTTGGCAATACCCACGCTGGGATCAAAGCACTGCCTGTACCGTGGTACTGGCATAATGGACCAGTAAAACTGGTTTATAACTAAGGACTTAATTTCCACCAAATCAACAGCTTTTCAGAAAACAAACATTTTCAGCATAAAGAAAATCTGGCTTTGGAAAATCAAATTATTTCATCTGAAGCTAATGTGGTGATGACCTGTTGTTGAACTGAACTGATATGTTTAATTCAAGATCACCAGGTGCAATAAATATGACCCTACATGAGCACCAGGGAACGTGGTACTTCGGGCAATACAATTTATGTACTAAACTAACTTAAAAAAACCTTTAATTTTATTTATTAGAAAATAAATTTTTCCTTGAATGTTAAATAATGCCATTTCCTAATCTATTTTTAAACATTATTGTTCTCTTATGAAAAAAAAAAAAATCATTACTTTTCAATCTTTTCAAACCATTTAGGGTGAAATTTTTCACAGAAAAGAAATAGTACATCGTGGTGAGAATTTTGAAAAGGAACTTAGGACTCCAATACTGCTGAAAGTAGGTGAGATAATCACTTATGCCACTTTTTACTGAAGAATCCATTGCATACAGGGGTTTGACTGCAGCATTCTGTCAGTCCTGTTACCAGTTTGGCCTCGATACAAATGGTATGAGGCACAGCAGCTTCCACATACAAGATTTACTACAAATTAGGATCTGAACTGAATGAATCTAACAGCAGACAGAGAGGATTATGAGTCTGTGGCTATATTCTGACATATATTGGATTGTTAGGATTTGCATTCATTAGGAAAGTTAGACTGGCATTTGCAGGAATGTGATATATTGCGCAGTTCATGGAAGTCCTACAGGTAACAGGAGAGGGGGAATAATAAGCTTCCTTTTCTGATGAGCAGCTACAGGTTTTGCACATTTTGCACACTTTGACAATGCTGGTGGTTTGTTATGCCAGGCACAGCTCTGATCCTCCACACACCCTCTGCTCCCATTTGGCACCAATGTAGGGGGCTCCCTGCACAGTACTTGGCAAAAAATAACCCCTGTGGTAATAAAGGTTTTCATAAAATACACTGAGGGTCAAATCAGAGCTTCAGCTAAAATCCTGTGTAAAATATAACTCATACTGAGGTGCATGGGTTGCACCATGGTTGCAAGGTGGAGATGTGATCTGCATTCTGTTATAGGCAGTGAAATCAGTGACACAATAAACCAGAATATATAAATCAATCAAATCTATAGGATTAAATAAATCAGAATCTACAGGAGAAATCTATAGGAGAAAAAAAAAAGTCCTACCTCTATCTATTAATTTGCTTTCTACATATTTGGGTAGACCATGGAAGCTACTTGAATGGCTCCTGAAGTCCTTGGCTGTAGGCATTTTTGACTTGCACATAACAGAACTCAACATCATCTTAGGATCTCAAATACATTGATCTTCAAATTGAATTCTGATGAAGATGACTTACAGCCTTGAAAATCCTCTCACCCCCACTGAGGGTGGCATGGCAGGCAGGTAGAGCTCCTCAAAGAAAGAAATGCTTCCTGAGGAGCTGGGCTGTGTGTCCTGCCTGAGCACTGGAGCTGGGACAAGTGTGATGGTGCTGAAACAACTGAGATGGAACAGCACAGAGCAGAGGGGAAAGCAAGCAAGCGGAAAGCAGAGAAAACAGAAAACTGGAACCAAGTTCTGGGCAAGGAGGAACACAGAATTATACTGCTTAATTCCTTTTTTAAGACAGGTGAATAATAAGCTCTTATTGGTGAAATGTTGTTCTTTTAGCCTTCAATATTTAAAGGATTTATGAAGGCTTCTTATTAGGGACTGCGCTAATAGAGTCCTCATGGGCCCACTCTCCATCAGCCTACCTCCTGGTGAGGACATTTTTACTTTCTTTTCTTTCAAAGTTAGTAAAATAATAAAATAATCAAATCCCCATTTGCTTTACCAAGCTAAAGCAGTAATTAACTGTGGGAGCAAGAGGCAAGAAGAAAGAAACCTCAAGCTTAAGCTCTTTGATTGCAGAGAGAAGCAGAACTATTATCAGCATTAATATAGAGAGATCAGAAGCCTCAATATGAAGCTATTAAAAATGCACACAATACTGATCAACAGCTTTACCATAATCATATAGCACAAGCTAATTCAGCCAACTGTGCTTTCAGACTTTCTGGGTGATGCATCTCCCAGCTCATGAAATACAGACTGATGCTGTGAGTCCTGACTGACAGCTTCATTTCAGTAATTTGCAGCAGCACATTGACATTTTATTAAATCACAGTAGAAGATACACTGAAATTAATGGGGGAGACTCTTGCTTCAGCAGGCTTTGGATAAAGTAATGGGTGTTATTTCTGATAAGATGGTGGGAGACCGTGTCAAATCCACAGTAGCAGCTCCCAAATTTCCAGTAAATGAAAATGAGTGGGAGTTGTGCATCTGAGTCTCCCTTTGTGCCTTTGAACACTCCTTTATAACACTAAACACTTGCCAGCGTGGAACATCAGGTGAGAAACATGCAAGATGCTTCACCTCTGCTCTGCTACACCTCCCCCAGGTAAGTTTACTCTCTCTTGTTCCCTTCATTTTCCTACTCAAGTTTCCTTTCTCAGTTAACAATTTTCCCCAGTCCCTCCTCCCACCTCAACCTCTCTGTGGAGCTCTTTGCTACTGTTTGCACCAGTGGATCCAGGAGCTGAGCAAGATAAAGTTTCTCACTCACTATCTTTCTCAGTTCCCTGACTCTCCTCCCCAGTCTGTTCAGCTCTTAGCATGTGGTATTGCCTATTCTGATTTTGAGTCAGAAAGTGAATCCCTGAGAGCAAAGAAGACAGGCTCTAATCCAGTGCTTTGTCCACCCATACATCAGCCTAGAGCACCTCAAATAAACATATTACAGGGAAGAGCTTTGGTGTCCCTGTCCTGAGCAGTAATTTGCAGAGCTGGTGCATCTTTACTCTGCTAACCTGTAGGACTCATGAAAGCCTGGAGCAGAGTATCAAGGACCTGAGTGAGCCACAGGGGCTCTTCAACCTCTGCCCCTGCCCTGGAGTTTGGCTGCTTGTGCTCCAAGGCAGCTTGGATGTGGTGCAGGTGTAGAGCTTTGGGTCTGACCGTGCAGAAAAGCTGTGAGAAGCTCTGGTTGCCATCAGCAGCCCTGGGATGTGTTCCATCCGTGTGGGCCAGGACCCTGGCCCTGCCTGCCAGGCACACAGACCAGCCCAGTGAAATCTGGCAGCTGAGCACCTCATACCAGCCCTGCACAAGCACCATTTATCAAAGGCTTAAGACTGCATCCATTCAGGCACTGAGCACATCTCTAATAGCCTTCAGCCATTCAAGCCCATGTCCCAGACAGTGAAACAGCCAGAGAGCTCAAAGAAGCACTGACAGATCCTTTCAAGAATACCAAAAAAGACATTTTTCTCTCCCATTCAATTCTTAACAGCAGTGACTACAATAAAACAAAATAAAATAAACCTGCCTGTCTGGTTCCAGTTTGCACAGTTTAACCATCAGGAGGGAAGGACCTGACAGCAGGAAACAGAACAACACAAAGTATGGGCTATATACAAACCCAAGAATCTGTAATAATTTTCCATTCCTCTTTGATCCACATTTCTGTTTACAGATATTGCAATATTTTGCGCTTTTTGTTTATGAAGTTATTGGTCAGACTCACCTTTAGTTCCCTTTTATGGTGCAGATTTGTGGTCCTCATCTGTACATCCTCCATCTCCTTGTGGCTAACAGTGATGCTGAAGTGATGCCAAGGTTCCTTTCATTTAAAGCAAACTCAAGACAGAACTTAATCCCTGAGCCAGATACAAAGGCCACTGAAATCAAAATAAATATTCTGATCAGTCCCAGTGAGATCTGAGCCAGACTAGTAAAGAACACTTTCCACAGAAGCTAGCATAGCATTCATTCCCTTACCAAAAAGGCATTCCAAAGCACATTTGCTATTAATTCTGCTTCCTCCTTAATCCCATCCTAAATAGTTCTAGCTTCACTTCATTTTCTCCTTGGAAAGTTAAAACTTCCAGAGGTTTTGAAGACACCCTTTGTCAAAGGATTACGGGAGGCACCAGTGGAAATTTAAGCATTATTAATTAGACCATGAAAATGAATTCCTATAAAAATTACCCATCTGTGAGTGTTAATTTAGCAGCAAGTAGTTATTTTTCTCTGCTGGAAAGGTAGATCGAAAGCAAGCTGAGAAAAATAGAAGACACAAGAAAATAAGATGGGAAAAACAGTATGAATCTTATAAGTAGAAAGTGTTAATTACATTATAAAGCCCTTAGTCACCTAAGCTTCTGTGTACAATAGAAATAGAACAGCCCAAATTATCCCTGCATTTTTTTTTTAAACTGTGACTACAGTTTTATTTGTTATTATCTTTATTTTTAACTGGACTTCTCATGAACACACACATCCAGAGGTGCATGCAGCCATGAGAAATGTGGAACCAGATGACTGCAAGCCACTGGTGGCTGTTCAGCACTGATCAAAAGAGCTGCCACCAAAGTCTCAGGCTACAAGATATCAGCAATAAATCCTACAATCGCACCTTCCCCAAGACATCACTGCAGGCTCCTTCAGAGCAGAGGCTGGAAAGGCACAGGGGGGCTGAGCCAAAATATCCCTTTAGAGCACAGTGGACTTCATTAGTGCTGTGGGTTTCACTGACAGACACAAATGCTGTGTGCCCAAGAGAATAAAAAGAGGTCTCTGGCTTAATCAACTCATGTGGGAAGTGTTTCTGGACCTCAAAAAGCCAATTCCCATTTGAAGATTCTGCCTCAGCAATGGATATTCCTGTGGCTGTGGACAGAAACATTGCATGTGTGCATTGAGTGAAACCAAGGGCCCTTCTGCCATAGGTTGCTGCAAGGATGTTGCATGAAATATTAAAAAAGAAACCTTCATGCCTGGAGTCCTTACTGGGTCACCTCAGCCTTCAGCTGTCCTGCCAGCTCAGTCCTCTCCTTGGGATGTAATTAAACAAGAGCAAAGTGATATGAACCTGCTAGTGGCTTCCCATGGCCCAGAAGGAAATCCCTGGATTGCCCTGGGATGCCTGCACTGATCAGAAGCAGCAGGAGCAGCCCTGCCCTGGCTGAGGCACCTCATTTGGCACAGACTGACAGTGCACGAGCCCTGGCACTGAATGGTGTTAGAGGGAGACCACCACAGACTGTGCTGCTGCTGCAAAGATCAGTGGAGAGTAAAAGCACCATGGACTCTACACCCTTGAATGGTCTTTCCTCTTGGAAACCTACAGACAGCCTGGTGGAGCTGACTGGAGTTTTCAGCTGAGCTGAGTGCAGTTACCTGGGGGTGAATCAGCAGGGCTCAGAGCACAGGCCCAGCTCTGAGGGGCAGAACCTGGTTTGTTCCATCAACACAGTTTGAAATATGCTGTGAGGCCGTTTCTTAAGTCAAGCTCTAAATATTTGAAAGTCAGTAGAAAAATCTCTCCTTGGGCAAGATTATTCAACCTCTGCCTGTCTGCATCTTAGTCACAGGATCTCCACCCTCCTCAGGCCAAGCTTCACTGCTTCCTTTCTCTTTCAAATCTCCATGGAAATCTCTGTCAAGTACTGACTGCATGAAGCTGCAGTTTACCCTTAACCTGCACATGACTTCTGTTCCTGGAGTCTCCAGGATATGTTCAGGTGTGTTTAGCATGAGCAGCTGCTCTCCTGAGCTCTGCTCCTGCAGTGCTGCTGAACCAGGACCATCCCAATCCCAGGTACCCAGTCCCCAGCTGGATGGTTCCCTCCTCACATTTATCATTCAGCTGTCCCTTTTCCTGACAGCCACAATTGGTTTTCTGGGCTGTTAATGGTAGAATTTGGTAATAAAGTACACGTTATTTGATTCTGAACAGGCAATTAGACTTCCTCATTTCATTTTTAGGATTTTAACTGCCTGACTTGACACTAATGTGAATCAACCATCATCCCACTCTGCTATGCCACTACCATTAATGCCACTGCAATGTGCACAATAATTCTGATAAATCACTGGCAGCTCATCTCCATATCATTCACCTGGTTTTTTGCCCCAAATTGGTCTTATGGTAGGATCACACATTCCCTAAATAACACCTTCTTTCCATGGTTACTAATGAGCCTGTTGATACCACTTCTTCAGGCTGCCTTTATTATGTTAAAGCCTTGTGGGTATATCCAGCTCCAACTGTCTGCTATAATTAAGACACAGATGTCACTGACTTTCACTTAACACTTAACAGACACACAGTCCCCTGGATGATCAGTGAGGAAGGAAAATGCTTTGTCTTTTGATTCTTTCTTCATTTTGAATGGCAGGACTCTGGGAAATGTCTTGGAAAAGGGACAGGAAGTGAGATTGATAACTGAAATAACAGCACCTGGCAGGAGGTCAGCCTTGGACTTTTTTAAAGAAAAATGAGACTAAAACAGAACACAGTGAATTTCTGGAGGCAAAAATTGTTCGTGAAAAAGATTTACATAAAACACAGGAGAACACAACAATCACGTTCAACAAGACTTGTCAAGTTCACCTATGGGACTTTCTGCAGCTTCACCAGGAATTAGAAACACTAATTTGTGTTCACTGTCTGTGTTGAAGACAGTCTGGTCCAAAGCTTAAACAAAGAAGGTGATGTTATTTAGCTTTCAAGAAGTCCTGGTGAGGTTTGGATTGGAAGAGACCTTACAGATCACCTCATTCCAACCCCTCTGCCACAGGCAGGGACACCTTCCACTGGAGCAGGCTGCTCAAAGCTCTGTCCAGCCAGGCCTTGGACACTTCCAGGGATCCAGGGGCATCTCCCTCAACATGCTGGCCATGCTTCCTTTCATGCAGCCTAGGATACCATTGTTTTTCTGGGCTGCAAGTACACATTTCCAGCTCATCCACCTTCAAGTTATTTCTGGCAGGGTTTCTCTCCATCCATTCATCTGCCAGCCTGCACTGAAATTGGGGGTTACCTGGTACCTACAGAAAGCTCTGTCAGACTTTGACACCACTGGATCATTGATGTGAAGATTTTCTGTGCAGCACAGTCCATGAGAAAAGGCAGAACACAAAATGGAAACACAACATCTGCTACAGAGAGCTCTTCAGTAAACTACCCCAGTCTCACTGCCCTTCAAAGCCATGCTCAAGCTAATCCTTCAGGAGGCCAGGAAGGTGGAAATCTTTAGCATTTGAGTGTATAGTTTCAATGAAAAAGCTATTCAGGACACAGCATTAATACAAAGGATCTGTTTTATTCCTTGTAAAGGTCTTGTATCTTTTGATTGTGTTTGTTTTCAAAAGGGGAACATGTTTACAAGAACAAAATATACACTTCACAAGAACAGATTCTATGTTAGTGTAATTCTTTTGGTACTAAACAAACTACTACAGGCATAAAGTTCTAATAAACTTAAAATTACACCTCCAAATTCCAGACTCTATTTTAAAAATGAAAATAGAAATCAATTTAAATAATAAATACTGATTTTATACTTTGTGTTTTTTGAAATGGAAAAACTCAATCTTCGAGCACAGAATGACAGTTTAAAACTGTGGCTGATTAAGCTGTGTGCTCACAAGCTGAACAGGCAGCAACACTTACTGTACTTAATCCATCAATTACATACAAGCAAGAATGCAAGTGGTGGAAGAGCCCATAAATAATGCTGTAGTGTCCTCCTCCAGAGACCCAAAATGGGACAGAGAATTGTCTGACTAAGCTGTTTTCTGACACTTACCAACCAAACACTGAGCAGGCATCTCCACACCATGGTCACATCTTCATCTGCAGTGGCTGCACACCCCAAGCCGTGCTGCAGCTGTGGTACAGCCACACTTCAGCACACTTTGTTTGCAAAAGTGTTCAAGGGTAAAGTTGCTCTCCTAGTGACAGTAACTGGCTGATAAAAGCAAAGAGGCTCCAGACAATCCCAAAGGACCAAACTGAGGTGGTGTCTTCATAAAGCATTTCTGAGGCAGTTGAAAGAATGCAGATTTCCACACCCCAGGAAAGTTTATTGCCTTCTCTGGAGAGTGCTGAGCCCTTCTGGTAGGACTTTTATTCCTACCTCAAGCTGCTTCTGAAGATCAGTGTTTTTGCTGTTAGAGATCTTTAACATTTTCTTCAGATCTTCAAAGGATGAGACATCCTTAATTCTCCATTGGCTTTATTTCCTCTCTTCCATTGCCTAAACCTGGGGGAAGAAAAAACCCAAGCCACAACACCAAAAACATGTTCCATGTTATCACAGCCCTTTGTGTCCATGCTACAGTCTGTTTATCAGACCAGCCACCCCTTTGGTTACCCACTTGCAGGAAATAACTCCTGGTAAAGGGGAAAAAAAGCTTCACTTTCATAAATATTCCCATTTTAAAGGGCAGATCATCACATCAGAACTTAAGGCAGTAAGTGACAGGGGCAATAAACAGGAAAATAAAAGATTTTGTGGCCTTTGTATCCTATAGGCAGGATAAATCCTTCCAATTACACAAGATCCTGGCTAAAGTCATTACTTGCTGTTCAGAAGTCTTACAGCATTTTTCATTCTTTGCTAAATTTATCACACTAAATCCCTTCTCTATGATCAAAGTCTTCTGGGATACAGAAGCTGAAAGATATGAAAGTGCTTTGATCCAAGGGGACTCTGGTGAAAACAGGCTTCAGTAGTACAACCTCTTAATTGTTACCATAACTCAGCATGATCCTATCTCAATGTCATCAGCAACAAAAGACTTCTCAACAGGAAATACTGATTTAGGGGATCCACCCATCAGCTCATATGCATTCACAGGTGTTGCTGAGAAAGGCAGCCTTGTTCAGAGGTTCCTCAAAATAATGAGTTTTCCAACTACTGTGATTTTTTGAATACGTATCATTCTGTGTGCCCTCTCACCACCTTGACCAGAGAGTAAAACACACCTGCATGGCTCTACTTCACATTTTAAACAGTAAGGTTTGCTTCCCAGGGGAGGTCATGCTCAAAAATCAGTTATATCAATTGGAAACAAAAGAGGAGTGAATGTATTTTTTATTTTTCCTTGTGACCTAGAAATATTCAAGGAATACAACATCAGCTGAGGGGAGAGAGCAGCAATCAACAATATAAATATCAGCTTGTCAGTCCAAGACACTTGTCTATCAATCACTTCCATAGCCCAACAACATATTCAATACCAAACTCAAAATGATAATTCAGATGGGCATTCCTCAGTTGTGCTGTTGCTTTCCATTGCATCCCTGGCATTTTTTAACAGACATTTTAATTATCTAAATCTTGCAGGACTTTCTATATTTCTGTGTGTATTTCGAACAGGAGAGACAGAACCACACAGAACAAGTTTTTACATCATTAGAAGATGGGGCAGATTTCAAGGTGGCTCACTCATTTCTCTACAGAAAAACTAAACATTTGCTCCAGACCTTCCAAACACTTGCTTCCATATCGTTCTGCAGAGCTGCTCCCTGCACATCCTCCTCCCTTTCCACCTCAGCTCTCTGGGTCTCACACAGCCATGACCTGACACTCTCCACAGAGCCCTGTGGTACCAGACTCCATCCCCTGGGATGTCCCAGCCTGCCTGACTCTCCAAGGACATGGACACCCCGGGCTTCCTGCTCACACACACTGAGCTTTGCTGGGAGGAATGGGCTGAACACATCCCAGCCTTGGCTGTGCTTCCCTTCAGCCCCTACCTCCTGCCTAAGCCAGCAGAAGCCTCCTGGAATTCCCCTGTCTTTTTTTACCTGCACTTGCAACTCTTTTGCACTTGCTCAAGGGACACTTTTTTTTCTGTTTAAACAGCATTCCTTTCTGATGGGAGTATTAGGAGATGACATTCCCTGTGCCCCCTTCAGGTGCATATACAGAATATCTCCTGTCAAACCAGCTAATTATGCTGCTATTCCCTTGTTGTAGATAACAGCAAAACTTCAATTAAAGCTTAGCCCTTCTTCATGATACTTTTAGCATAATTTCTGAACAACTGCCTTACCCCAGTAAATGCCTGAGTTTGATGAGACATGGGGAATTAAAAAGTGATTATTTTTTCCCCCATCACAGTGGGAGGAAGAAGCCAAACCTCTCTGTGCTGTGAAAAATCTGATTGTCCTTTCCTGAAATGTGATCTCTAGAAATGATGCCCAGCTAGTGGTTCCTGGATGCCAGAAGGAAAACAGTTCAGCATTTTATGAAGACAATTAAGGACATACACAGGGCAGCACTGTTGAACCTTAAGGGAGGTATCAGAGCCTGCACTCCCAAAGTGCTGCACACCCTTTCAGAAAGGAGCTCCCACCCAGGAGCCCCAGCAGGAAAAAAAATTAAATTCTTGCATTTGAATCCTACTTTCCTCTCACCAATATTTGTTAAACACGACAACAAAAGTGAAACCTTTGTTTCTTCCATCAAACTAAAGATGTTTGTCATGACCCACTTCAGCCCACTGAGATCTGATTCCAAAGGGTGTGGAGAAGGACCACGGGTGGGATTTGGTAACAAACTTGGGAATGATGCACCAGTCACAACTGCATTCTGAGCACAGAAACCATCACCCTCCTTCAGTAACAAACAATGCTCATTTATGGCAGCTTTCTTCTCTCACAGCTCTGACAGCATTGGCAAAGGAATTATTATCCCAGCTTTGTTTTTTTGGGAATAGCTCACTGAGCACTGAGGACCAGCATTTCCAAACTGGCTTCTGATTTTTGCAGTGCTCCTGTGTTTGCCATGTTTGAGAGCCCAGCTGGAGCTAACAGAGCTCATCTACAAGAAGCACCAATTACACACAAGTCCCACTGAATCACTATGAGCTGAAGGTTATCAGCATTCCTAAAAAATTAATTAAAGAGAACAAAATGGATTTGCTGAGATAATTTGGACATGCAAAAATAACGAATTACTGTGGAAAAAGCATGGCCCACCTCTCAACCAAGGTCATATAGAATTTTACTGCACCAGAGGGAACCACGTCCAGGTCTTCTAATAGTGCACCAAGTGATACATTTATATACACCTTTACAGAGCAGAACTGGATGGAAACTGGCCTAATGATTCAGCAGTATTGTGTCTCTTGTGCATAATTTGAATGACACTGATGAGGCATCATCATCTCTTCATAATCATCCCTACCCCTGTGGACTCTGGAGTACACCAGAGATATTTATGAGACCACTTAGGAAATACACATGGGCTCCTTGTCTGGCCTATGAAAAATCAAAGTAACCACTACCAGCTCCCTTTTTCTTTTTTTTAATGGTTTCTTTGAAGCATAAAATCATAAAAGGAGGAGGGACAAATTTTTTAAGTAGGCTGAAAAGAAGCCAGCAACATAATTTACATACACAGGTGTGGTTTTCTAGCAATTAGCAAAAAATCTCAGATCCAAACATCCAATAACCAGATTTTTTCCCCTTAGTGTTATTTAAAATATACATAATATTATTTCCTGATGAGTCTACTCCAGGTATTTCTACATAAGCAGGGCTTCTGTGAAATAGGACTTACCAATCAGACCACTAATGAAAAGCAAAGCAAACAGTTACTGATTTTGTAAGTTCCTGAATCTGGCATTTTCAGACAAATATCATGGAAATTTTGAATGAAGAAAAATTAATACTAAAGGTCAGCTGCAATAGAGAAACACTAAGAAAATGTCTGAAAATCTGAACATCAATGTTTAGAACCCAAATAATCATCCTCAGTGATCCACAAATAGATTTAAAGAGACTTCCACATTTAGAAACACTGCAATATGAGTAAAGAGGAAATGAACAGGTAAACTTTCGTTCTATTTGCCCTTTTCTATTACTCATAGTTCCTTTGCACAAAGCTGTTTACATGTAAGCCCTTACAGATTTTATATTGTCCATCAGTAGTATTAAAACTAAAATTAATTATAGGTCACATGCTCATCTGCTATAAATTAGGGTAGCTATTGAAATAAAAGGTACAAAGTAGAATACTAAATACTAAATACTGAATACTAAAGCAATAAGGTGCTCTTTGTCTGCCTGACAAAAGGTGTATCAGAAATATTCTTTGAAATAAGAGTGAGTAGATCTGTTGACAAAATAATCTTTTTCTACTGAAAAGCATCACTTTCCTTCACCAAAATGTATCCACTGAGACAAATCCTCACACAGCAAGAGAAGAAATGCTACATGAAACTACACCTTAAACATTTGGTATATTCACAAAAATGAAACCATCCAGACAAGCTAAGAATATAAAGCTGAAAACAAAGCAAGTGTGCAACAGAAGTCAGCAGATACTATGATTTCAGAATGCTTGAGGAAGCTCCCTGGGATTAATTTCTAGAACAAAACTGTGTATATGCACCAGAGACTTGTACTAAACACATCCTTCTGCCTTGCTACTGAACTCTCTGCTCACCTGCTGCATCAACCCACCTTACACAGACAGGGACTTTATGACAAAATAATGCAAACCAACCTCCCTGAAATCACATTGTCCTGGGAGCAGAGCTGGGAACCAAATCTCTTCCTTGGTCCCCATCCAGGGCCATAGGATGAGCTAGTCAGCTCTCCAGCCTTGGTGGCCCCTGTCACTATCAGTCATCTGCTTTGCTGAGTGGGTAATTCTGCTGGAGAGGTTATTAATATCTCATTGAATACTGAAACTACTAGTTCATAAAGCCAACATCATGTCCTGGTTAGCATCAAACATCTGATTGCTCTGCTACTGTGGTACAATGCACTTACTGCAGCTGAAAATAAAACTGCAACATCTAAAGCTGTTTGGTTGTTGTTTTTTGGGTTTTTTTAATTTAGAATTAAATATTGTCAACACCATACAGACAACATTGTCTGAAGCCCTGAGTCCAGAGAGTCCAGCCCCAAGACCTTTCTCTGAGAGGGCTTCCAAACCCTTCCAGTGAAGTCCAAGATTCCCAGCTATCCCAAAGAATATCAGATTGTTTGTAAATTATCCAGGAAAATGCCATTTTCTGTAGAGCTCACACACTATACCCAGTCCTTACCCGTGCTGTGCAGTTCCCAGTTGTGAAGGGCTCCCAGCCCTGTGTGCAAACAGCAGGCTTCTCCTCTGGGTTGTTATTCACTTCTGTGCTGCTGTAGCAGCTGTGCCTGTGCTCTGCCTGGGGAACAGGTAATGAGCTTTGCTTTATACCTTTTAATGAAATTTCACCTATAATGGCAGCCAGCTGGTTTATCAGACACTACATCCTATTGTTTGTCCCTCCAATTTATGGATAAATTTCACTTTTGGCCCTAAGTTGGTCACCACTTGTAAGAAATATCCTTTTATGTCAGATCTCCCTCAAGTGCTTTGTTCATGAAGTCCAGCACAGTGTGATGGTGTAAGAGAAGAGCCAAGCCTCAGGAACAAGCTGCTATTTGTGTTTTTGTGCAATCACATCTGATTGCTGGTTACTGCACCTCATTCTCCATGGCTGCAGAACTGCACACTCTGAGCTTCACTATTTACCAACAGTGATTTAAGCATCACCCAGAATTTGAACTTCCCCTTGGCAATCTGTTTCCATGAGCCACAGCTGCACACACAGGTGCTCCCTGCAGACCACCCACACATTAAACAGCCTGTCCAGCTCTGCTCCTTCACATTGCCCCTCGCTTAGACCCAAACTGCAGAGCAGACCTGACAGATGCACAAAGCCATGGGGTGGCTTTAGGTACTTGAAACCAGACCTCTGAAATCACAGACTGCCAAACTCATGCCACTTGTGGATTAATTAAGCTTATAACATTTCCCTCCAGGTTGCCTCTGCTCACCCCCTTGCTTTTCCAGCATGAGACATTCTTTCCCAAAGCAGATGCATGCAAAGACCAAAACAAGGGTGGCTGCTGGTTATAGTTTGGGGGATTTTTTTTTTTTTTTCCATGAAGAAGAATATTAGATAAAGCTCCAGCTATTAATTTTATGAAAGAGGAGTTGGAAATTACAGCAAAGAGCAGCATCAATCCATATAAAGCTCTGCAGTCTTTTAATTCCAAACTCACTTCATCAGGCAAGGCAGAGCATATGTGTTTTTCACAGGCACTCTTTCAGCCACTCGGTTTTCCTCTGTCAGGTGTTAGTGGCACCTGTCTCTCCTGCTCGTATTTTGGATGTTCCTCATCTTTTTGCATTGCTCTCCAGAGAATGGCCAATCACCTCAAGATGTGCCTTTGTGAGTACCAAATACTGTTTGCAAAAATGGACCTGAATGCATGACAAAATCCAACTGTATTAATATTTTTAAATAAGTCATTATTATCCTAATAATAAACAGAACCTCTAAAAAGTAAGAACATTTTTCCTGCTGTAAAATACACAAAACTTTGAAAGCAGTCTGTAATTCTTCTTGGTTCCTGTTTGAGAAGGATTTCCTTTTCCCAGTTTCATTATAAGGCCAAAATTCTCATTCAAAAGAAAAGCTGATTGTTTCAAGTTCAGTATATTCTGTCACATAAAAACACCATAAAAAAGCTTTCCTGGTTAAACACTAACCTTTTGCTGAAATCCTTGAATATTTCTGCTAGATCCAAAGACTAGACTCCATGGAAGGGTTTTTTGTTGCTGGTGTTGCTACAGGCAAGCCCTTTGTAGAACCATGCAAGGATAAACAGTCAGTCAGTGAAATGTTTTGTTGATGGATCAGACACCAAGAAACTCATCATTAAAGGTGCAAGTGAACTGCTTTTTAACAGCAAGAGGTCTCTCAGGCAGTGCAGTTTCCAACACCAAGATGCAGGTGCACAGTGGGACAGCACAGGCAGCTGGGACAGGACTGACCCCAAAGCCCCAGAGGCTGCAGTCAGCTCAGCTGGGACAAGACTGACCCCAAAGCCCCAGAGGCTGCAGTCAGCTCAGCTGGGACAGGACTGACCCCAAAGCAAATTCATGCTGCCTTCCCTTGGATCACCATTAATGTCTCAGCCTCCCAGAGACCTGTTTCTTTCAAATCCTTCTATTTCCTGTATAAAACTTTTTATACAAGAAGCAATTAAAGTTTCATAAAAACAAAACTTCCCAATCATTAACTGCTCCCCATGCATAAAGTACCTTACTCTTAATAAAATGTGGTGCCTTGCATCCGTAAAGGAGTGAATTCTATTCCCGTTTAATGAAAGGGAAACATATTAAATGTATTCCCCTGTATTAAACACTTTTTCTTTCTGTCAGAAGAGCTCCTTTCCCACTTGCTGCTTTAATAAAACATGGTAAGAGGGACTATGAACAGTGGTGCTGCGTGCTGGAATGATGGGAATTCCATCAATTCCTGCTCCCAAAGGCCAGGAGACAAAGGGCTGGGATCAAAACCCCTTTCCTGGCCACGTTTGGCACAAGAGAACTCTGCACCCTCAGCCTGGCTGGGGTCTGCTCTGCGGGCAGGGGGCACAGCCAGCAGCCCCCACCAGGGCACAGGAGCCTCGGCAGGCACTGCACGGCAGCAGGATGTGCTCACCTGCACTCACATGCACACACCTGCACTCACCTGTGCTCACCTGCATTTGACTGGTATAAACACTTAAAACATTAACAATAAAAACACACCACCACACACCTGAGAAGATTTTTCTGCTTGCTGAAGAAATTGTGACAAATAAAAGGAGTTCCCAAACTTTTCCTCTTTTTAGAAGCAACTCTTTCCTATGACTGCTGCCCACAAGAGCGTTTGAATTTTGGTAGCAGAATTTTGAGAACTGCTTTCCAGATTGATATCATTATTAAAGAAATACATGTTTTAAATGCAAGAACATCCTTATTACTTAAAATAGAGTTTACTTATTACCTTGGCAGTAATACTTGTTGGTATTCAGCAGCACAGTGGATAACTGAGAATACTTCCTATTTGCAGAGAAAGACATATCTGCTATCAGAAATTATCAACTAATGTCAAAACTTCATGTTTGTTTAAAGACCTTAATTTTCTTCCTTTTAAACGTTCTTTGACCTAAAATACAGTTTGGTGCTTGGAAATGTATTTGCATAGGGTGAGGCTAATACAGCTCTCAGTACACCACTGTTCCCAATTTTGCCATACTGATCTCTGCCATTGCAATTCCTTTCCCAGCATGTCATCTCAGTCATTTCAGTTTTACCTGGAGTCCTGCAATATTTGGGGCAGTTCTTGAAACGTTTTACCGAGACTGATGTAATTAGTTGAGAAACTCAGTTCCCTCCTTACCAGTTTCCAGCCCTGAAGGGTGCTGAGAAAAGGTTACACAGGAACCTCACCTGCAAGCTGAAGGTTCAGAAGCAGAAAGGCTTATCAAAACCAGGGGAGAATTAACCACTGCCTGTAATGGCCCACATCCACTGACTGCTCTGCACTTTCAAAACAAATCTGCATCAGGCAGAGCTGTAGAAAGCAGAGGTTCCTGATAATGAGAGGACAAGGAGTGCCAACATCTCTTTAGCACGGAAGCTGATTGCAAGTGAGTCTCAGGACTTGCTGGGCTGGAGATTCAGCTGCCCCTTGACTTTCTTTTTGCCTTCAAAACTAACTCAAGGCTTCTTTTGATGTTTTGGCAAAGGTTATTCCCTCTGGAGATTAACTTCTCTGCTGAAGCTGCCTGAACAATTACCCTGGTCCTGATAAGCACTGCTGCAAACTGCTGTTACTGAGGCTGCCTCTAGGATGGCTGCTGTGGTTTCCATCCCAAGCAATGGCCTCGTTCCCTTTCACGTGTTTTATTTGCTCCCTCACCATTTATATGCACTTCTCTTAACCTGGCAGTGTTGGTTTGCTTCCACCACCAGCCCTGTCTGCTACAGCCACTTGCACTCGTGTGTGGCTGGGGGAGCCTCCAGCTGCCCAGAGGAGATGCTCTAAGAATGATTCCATTCAATTCTGCACTCACCTAGGTCAGGTTACCCATGATAAAAGATCAACATTCATTATTCTTGGAGGGAATTTCTCTTGCAAAAAAATCTCAGAGGCTTTCAAACTTTATTCCTCTGACCATTTGACCTTTTATATTTATTACACTGTATTTTTCATTTCTCAACCAGACACATCTCTTTTCAGTCACTTCCTTGTGATACTCTAAAATGAGTAACAAAACATAGTAAATGATCCTTAAAATTACTGCCATGTTAACTAACTAATCTTTTTACCTATGTCTTCAAGAGTGAGTATTTGATCTTGGGAACCACAGACATATAGCTTTACTCCTCTATTAGAATAAAAGTCAAAATAGCAATAGTCTCAAAATTCCTTACTAAAAAACCCAATCTACCTGCAGTTCCCTACATTCTATCTAACAAGTAAAACATGTTCAGCCCCATTTTAACCAAGTTCTCAGGCCAATGATTGCTGAGAAATCTCTAGTTTTTGCTGTACCATATATCCCAAATCTGAGGCAAACATAACAAGGGCTGGAAGCATCACTGCTGCCATGCAGGCAGCACCCAGTACCAGAATGGATGTCATTTCAGGAATGTGCTGCATGCCCACTGAGCTGCCATGTATTTGAATAAATGCTCTAGAAAGTGTGAGCTTCAAAGTCCATCAGGTAAAGGGTCTAGAAAGTGCAGGTTTTCAGATCCCAAAATTATCTTCTAATTGCACCAAGGCCCATTTCTCTGCCACAAAGCCCAGAGGCCTGTGACTGCAATAACCTGAAAGCAGCAGATGCTGCTGGATCTTGCTGGGTAATTTTTTCCCTTTTACATTAAAAATAGAATACAACTTTTTTTTCTTACACATTCTGGTACTAGTTCATCCAAATAATTCTTACCATTTGGAATGCAGCCTCATGTGACAGGCTCATTAGCCCGACAGCAAAGCCAGCAAGTTGAGAATAGCACAGTGGAGCACGTGTTGCTTTTCTCTGCAGATGCTTCAAAAAATAAGTGACAAGAGCCCAAATCCTGACCCCAGCATGCACCCAAAATTAACTAAAGAAATCTTGCTCAAAAACAGAAGCTCTTGTATAGCTTCTATTCTAGGATTAGATCACAGCATCAGATCAGTCATTTCCTCCCTTTTTGTTCTTGGTTACAGAGGAGCCCAGCAAAGGCTCAAAACACCCTTTCCCCTTAGTTCCACCTGTGGAACTCCTGTGCATCACTCTCCTGCTGCCACCTGGCTCCCCAACAGAAGGACATTTTTACTTTAAAACTGTGGAATTTTGGGCTATGTTTATCTCCATAAGAAGTTACAATGTGAAAGGCTCTGGCTGTCTGAGGATTTGGCTCGGTGGCACAGAAGATACAAGCCAGCTTGCAGACTGTGGTAAAAAGGGATTAGATAGTGTCTTCACTAATTACAACAGAATTAGTTCAAGGAATCATTGACCAGGCACAGCAGCATTTCAAAAGATCAGATACACAGTTTATCCTTGAGAATTACAAACAACCATAAGATCCTTAAGGCAGAGATTTCTGATGCAGAAGAGTAATTTGAACTTCTTCAGAAGTTCAGTTTGTGAGCTGATGATGGACCAGCCCTT